ATCATAGTGTTCGCAGTTACAGTGAGCCGGAAAGTAATTGCACGCTCGTGGAATCGACAAGAATCTAACATACAGTAGCTCACGAAAATGATCGGGCACTTTGAACTTTTTGTATTCTTTAATGAACATAACATAAAAACTAAAATAAATTAAAACAAAAAGAAAGGCTTTTTAATTATATATAAATTGAACACTTTTTTATAGTTGAAAAGAATGAAAATTTGATTTGGGAAAAAACACGCATTTCTATTTAAGAAACGTATTCTATAAAAAGTTCGCACTCTGCAAAATAAACGAATTATAGCTCTGTTAACTTCAGGCTAATGTTTCTCCAGTTTTTTAATTAAAGAACCTATTACACGAATCCCTTTATAGCAAGTTGTACCATGAAACTGCACAAAATATTTTTTCCAACTCGTAAATTGTCTTAATACATGAATGTGAAGGTGTAGTCAAGCCTCCTAAAGACAATAATTTAATCCATTCTGAATGAAGTTATTGCTTCTTCAACACTATTTTTAGATATTGCTCCCAATGATAGGTCTTTGTCTCGCAGAGAATATAACCTGCAACATATGTTAATGCTTCTTTTTCGGCGGTCGAAAACTGTCTGGTGGAATTCAATTCTAATTTCCAAGCCACAGGAGAAGGTTCCTCTATGAAATCCAAATCATTAATAGTATTTAATGAGTTTTCAATCCATGCAATCCTCGGAGTTGACTTTCTAAAGAAGTATAAGTTTTGTTCACCTTTCTTACGTTGTTAAAATGTTGCATGCACCTAAGGCGTTTGATCCAGAAATGACCCATCGTGTAATTCTGGATGTTACTGAATTATAAACCCATTTTGTCAATGTTAATAACGTAATTATTTAGTAATCATTTTCTGCATTTATATGTCATTTAACAATGTATTACGGTAACATTTTCATGACTATAAGGAAATACAAACTTAATGAACCATTATGTATTTATGAAATAAAAAATGTTGCTATTCCATCATTCACCCCTCAAAATCACAGTATGGACGCATTTTTCTGTATTTATAACATTTATTTATTTTTACATTCATTTGATATGTCAAGAAAGTTTACACTCATGCATATTATTCGTTTATTTCCTAAAAGTAAAACTACACAATACAAACTATTTGTGAAATATTTAGCTTAATCCAACAATACAAGTTCGGTTGTTTGAACATTTAATAGAATATCCGAAAATGCGTTAGTCTATAAGTTGTTCGTTTATATACAGTTGTTAGATAATTGATAGAAATGTTTCTTTTACGTGAACAGTCCACATCTGCTTTTGCCAGTACTTGGTACACGCCCAAATGCCTCAGGCTGTCTTGAGTTTCGAATACTCACTGCCGATTCTCGGTAACTCTTTGCTTTTGGTAATTCCTTCAATGTGGTGGGTAACCAAAGTCATGCAAAGCTTCTCAATGAACATTCTTCTTTTGTGAAATGAGTTCATCTCCTATGCTGAAATGATCTTGATGCATTATACCCGGAAATATATAGGATATTAAAGAAATTACGATCGGCCATCTGTCTTCCACCGTTAGGAACAATGGGGGGGGGACCAGTTTATCTAACCTTTCTACTCCTCTTTCGGTGCTATTATAATCCAGAATTATTTGAGGATTCTTTGTGTCTGTGTGCTCTGAAGAACTACACACTTGCCTCTGCTCGGGATGTATGATACAAGAGTCCTATCCTTCGTGAATTAAAAAAAAAAAAAAATGTTGATATAGTATACTTTGGAGTTCCTTTTGCAATTTAAGAAAGGAGATCAAGTCTGACTGTACAGCTCGAAGAGTGGTCGCAGAATCTCTCTCAAGCTAGATATCCTGGGAGGGGCTCTACCGTGTGATAAAAAAAATTAGTAACACAGTGAGTATGGTGAATGTATAAAGAACTCCTTCTTCTAAACCGAAGTTAGTGCACTACGACAGACTTGCGACTTATTAGAGTACAGAGAATTAGCTATCCCTAATCTTGGAGATTGCACTGTCCGGAAACTGCCGTTCCTAAGGAGGGGCCGAAGTTGTAAATATTTTGATCTTTGTTAATTGTATTTATTATTTTCTCTATAGCTGTGGTATTTTGTAATCCTTTACTTATTTATTGTTTTTAGAATGGTGATTTTATAGTTTATTATGCATTTAATCTAATCTAGCCACATTTATCAATGATTATTTTATCCAGTTATCAGCCGAATGATATCTGCTTCTTAATTTTCACCATGTAGTTTCCGATGAACAATGATTTCTCTTTCATGTGAATCATCCATCAATTAGTACAAAATTTTCTTTCACCATTTTACAAATTCTGCATTTTTTTGCGATCAAAAGAGCTTTAGAATATATATCTCACATCTTGAAACCATGAGGCTAAAAGATCAATTTCAGCATCTTTCGAGGCCCACAACCTGCCAAATGATAAAGTTGATGAATACTGATAGTTCAACACCAAGGAAATGGGCTAACTGCAAGGGCATTTCCTCGGTTTTCCCAATGTGTAGCATAGATAAGAACCAGCTTCCTTTAGAAAGTCCTAGAAGGCAACCCTCCCTTTAAGTAGATAGTCCTCACGTTGCTATAATCAAACCAATAAATATCTCGCGATTTTCAGTCCCTTATGCACTTCCTTCAAACATTTGCAATTTTTATTAATTTTCCATCAACTACAGTTCATTATTTAAATGAAAATTATCAACTTAAATGAAGCTTTTCTTTGATTGCACTTGCGAAGAAAATCATGCTCCAAAAAGGGAGAGTTTACAACTATACTGGCCAAACACTTTCCATTGATGCATTACATGCTTGAGAGAAAAGTATACTGTGGTCCTAAATCAGATAAACAGGTGAATTACAAACAACTTTGATACGTACGATATTCTGACACTGAAACAATCCATCTTTTAGCAGTTTGAGTTTTATTAGCTGCAAAGATGGGTTTAAGAAATGATTTTTTTTCTATTAATTAGTATATATGTTTTCATTCTTGGACATCTGGAAGTAATACGCAATTGTTTTTACAAACCAATGAGTTTAATAAGTGGTGAATACTGTACACGCTATTGTGGCACAAACTGAGTGATGTGATATACATAAATGCAAAACAAAACTAAATACAAATGTTAACTGATTAAAAATTGTTTTAATCTGCATAAAAAAAAATCTTCAAATGCCTACAATTGATTAAAGGCTACTTGGAAATAATAAAGTTGCACAAGAAAACTTATGTTAAAAATTTCAAGGGAGATTCATTTTGCTCAATTTGAGTTTCATTAATTCAACAAATTGCCTCTTTGCTGGGAAGCTAAAATAAAAACCTGAAAGTTTTGTTATTTACTGGAATACCAAAAGATATTATGAAAAACTGGGAGTCTCCCTGTAAGATCAGAGGGTCAGCAGCCATGCAGTACATTTTTAGCTTTTCAGAAGGAAAAGTTTAACTACATGGCATCATCACTTTCTATGAGCCCGTAGATCAGACTGGTCATCTAAAATGCTACCCACCAGTGATACATGGGCAGATCTGCATCCATGATCCAGCCACCCCCTGGAGTACAGAGTTCTTACCTCTCTCCTCACCAAGGTAGAGCACCAATATGGATAAATTCCAATTATCCCTTGGTACAATCATATGATGTAATCTTCCTTTGGGGTTCTGGAACCACCAGACTTGTGTTTTAACCCCTGGTGCCGAGACTACCAAGTTACAGATCTGAGCCAGTATAATAAATGACAGCCAGGAATATATTAAGGCATATGAAGGACTCGGCCAACTGAAACCACTCTCATGAGAAATGGTTTCACAATGGTTGCTACATGACGGTGCACTATTTTGCATAAATATAAGAGCCACTGTGAGATCTCATTTCATTAAACAAAATATCATATTCTCGCATAACATTTTCAGGTAGCACCATTGTTTTACATACATGCTTTTCAGCCACTGTTGTTGCACAAGGATCTTCAAATAAGAATGGGCCAACAATGACAAGTGCCATGTAACTGCATCCGAGGCTAGCACTGGACATTTTGCAATCCAGAGTAAACTCTGTGACACCAAAATTCTGCTTCCCCGATCAAGTCTAAAAATTTCGCTGCTCACAAATTAGGATGTCCAGGGCAGCTACACACTATCTGCCGTAGCCCTGACTGCACCATACAGTGATTTGTGATGAATGCACTAGCTTCTCTAAATATATTTGGAAATTATTTTTGGTTGATATTTGACAATTATGGATTTTAATACTTTCATGCAACAAAAAATATGTTTCATCTGCCTAAAGAGTTGTTTAGAATGTATTATAAATCATCAGCAATTATTCCCAATACCCATATAATAAATTATCTGTATTTAGAGACATCACTTGAATTCAAATATTAGTATGATTGCAAATTGTAGGGATTCAGGTACAAGTAGAAAATAAGCTAGTGCCTCTGTAGTACCACAGTTACCAATGAGTTATTGCTGAACCTAGCTAGCAGTTAAGCTTCCACCTAATTTTGAGGGAAAACACCTTGGGGGTGGGGTCCAAGGATTTCCCAAACCTCTTCTCCTGCTACCAACCTCTTGAGAGGGTTTTTGGCTTGCCATATATTTTGAGAACTCCCTTCCGCACATACATTCAATCCTTACAAATATCTACAACTTCTCGGGAATTTAAAGCTGGATCCATTGGTATGGAAGTCAGCATCACTAACTACTATACTGGCTGGGAAGCTATTGTAAGCATATGATTGAAGTGCATAAATGCAAGATAATTAATGCTGACGTAGCTCTGTGATTCTGCCAACTTCCCAAGCACAATTAACATGGCTTACTATTTTTGCAAAGTTTCTACCTGTGCTTCACATGTGATTTGTATGGGATTCAGTTATTGATGATCTTCCACACTGACATCAGTTTACCAAGTTACCAGTTTCTTCAAAATATAATATGAGAATTTTTAGAAAGATAAAAATTTAAAGAAAAGATAAAAAGCTCTCCATTACTTCATCATTTTTAATCAAAAAAGTACATAACTTCTTGATATAAGAATAGACAATATAGAATTTTATCTGCAATGCAAGAATGTTTGTATATAAACTCACATTTCACACTTATTAGTTAAATTATTTTAAAACATGTAGGTCCTACAGTATTGTATAAAAATAGGACATCTATATTATTACTCTACTGACTTGAAATGCTGGACTCTTCTTGAAGAACAAAATTATCAGATTCACTTTGACAAGCTTTAATTACAATATTCATTTCGATTTTGCATATCAGCAACGACTGATATGCAAAATCAATTGATAAGACAAATTTAAGGAGAGTGAGAAAAAAATTTGAGCTATGAAAAAACTTATATCAATTTCAAGTCTAAATTTTGTTATTCAATTTCAGATTTCAAATTTTTGAAGAAATTGTTTTCTTAATTTCCTTCAGAACAGGCACAGTGAAGTTGAAAGTCATTCTTTTTATTCTAAAAGAATAATTTATATTACACACATTAATCAATAACAGGATGAAAAGAGACCTTACAATACATTTCAGAAGCTTTAGTTTTTATCTCTTAAATGAGTGAATTTCAAAAACTGTCTTTCAAACAAATCAATGATAAAAATATATATCATAAACATATATAATAAATATAAATTATATATATTAAAAAATAAATAATTAATACAAGCACTGGTTAAAATAGCACCATTTCTACAATTAAAATTCTCTAATTACATAATTTAAAACAAATGTTCATGAATTAAAATATGTCATTCATTATTCCTTATTAAAATATTTATCTAATAGGATGTATATATTTCAAAAAAATAAAAGAGATGGAATATTGCATGAATGGTAACAAAATACATTTATCACATTAAAACATGTCCATAAGCACAAACAGACATGAAAAAATTATCTACAATATATTAAAATATATTATTTATGCTATAAAACAAGTTAAAATAGTATGGCATCTAAGGTCAGAACATTTACCAATCCAAAAACACTTATAAATGATCTTATACACATATACAATGGAATTATAATTTATTTAAATTATACCCCCCCTCAATAATGATGTGACAAGAGTTAAAAACAATTACTGACAATACTGTTTACTAAATACATTCTAAATTAAAAGAGCATGAAATAACATTTGACCATTTCCATACAAACATGCTTCCAATAACCATAATATAATGAGGAGGGGGGATGGGGGAGAGGAAATGGTAAAAGTTAAAGAAAGTCAGAGGTCAAAATAGAAATACTGTAATAATAAGTTTAAATAAAGCTTAGTCTACAAAACTGAAACAACCTTTCCCATTATATAAAATTTTATGTAAATAAAGTTAGCAGATTATACTGAAAAAAAAAAAAAAAATACAAAAAGAAATATTTTATGCAACATTTGTTTAAAAATAAAAAAAAGTATTATGGACACTATGAAAAATAAAGCAATGTTTGCATTTACTCAGAAGTTAAATTACAAGAAAAGAATTTATTACAACTATTTCTTTTTAAAAACAGCAAAATCCAAAAAGCACCTGCCACATGTACATAAATGCTCTTAAAGTAACCCTGTTTGTAATAATTTAAAATCATATCAATATCATCAAAGCCCTGCAACACATATCACTTACTGTATTTCTCAACAGCACAACATATACCTTTATATTCTCCTTTACGTTTCTAAAAAGGTTGCAAAAAGGAAATCAAATTTCAAAACATTACTTTGCATGATTGCTGAAAACAAAGAATTCAAAAACAAAAGTTACAGATGAGAATATGATTATGGTTCATACGAAAAAAAGACATATCAAGGAACTATGCAGAAAGTCAGCAAAGTATATCAGACATCTTTCTCTCCTCCTTACTTTCATAGACTTTAAATGCATAAAAAGTAACCAATAATTAAGCTTCAATTAAAATCTGCAAATACATAATAAAATCCCTAGACTTCATTATGTATTTTCTACAGTATAAAACAATATATTAAAGTTATTTTACATTATTTTATAATGTATAATTTAATATCATACCCCCAAAGTGGTATTTCAGGGTATTATGATATTAAATTATTCCACAGTATAAAACTATAAACTAAAGTTACTGATTAATATGCAGCTTCTCATATATATAAAGAGTGTTTTGTCATACTTAGGACTGCTACTTTGGAAATAAGGTTTTTCATAATAATGATAACATGCCAATAATAGAATACATAGTTCAGAATTGGGATTTAAATAATTTAAAGATAAATTTGCTGCATTACTAACTATCTTAAGTATAAAAACAACATAACAGTTTATCTCCCTTACAACATTTTTAACAACAATGCACAAATAAATATGCACTAACATTTAAAAGATAGTTTTAAACGTCACTACACAAATAAACAAAAGTCTTTTCTTATATATACTCACAAAAAATTATTTGAATAGAGAAGTATATTCAACAAAGATAAAGACTAGAAAAATATTTGTATGAATAAATTCATGAATTTTGAAGAACTGTCTTTCCCTTGGCAAGTTATGCTTTTCTTTAAATTTAAATGATGTAAATTTCATATTCGAATATGTTAAATGAAATTTTACACATAATTTCCATGATGATAAGAAATGTACATTTAAAACAGATAATAAAATTAATAGTGATGATTCCCTGTGAAAATACAGAACATGTACAACAAATACAGCACAAAAAAAACAAATATCACCTTATATCCAATTAAAATTTGAATTCTTAAGAAGAAAGTACCATAGGGAAAAAATGTATTAATAGATATGCTTAACAGAAATGAAAATATGTTTATTACAACCAATATAAAAGTAATTTGAAGTCAAAGGTATTCTATTGTGAACAGTAAATTTAAGTTGAATTTAGTTTTATAAGTTAAAAAAATGGATAGGGAAAGCGAGAGAAGTATACAAAGAATAACAATTCTAAGCTTTATAAAAACTACAACTGCACAATGCAATTTATTATTGAAATATTCAAAGTTAAAATTACTGAGTATAAAAGTTATGCTATATTTTTATTCTGTAACAGGACTTTGCTTTAAAATACAAAATATAACATTATTTTATAACATGACAGTAAACAAATCTTATCAAAAATATTTATAATATACTCAACATATTCAGTATGATTACTCAGTAGAAAGACAAATTTCTTCCCTTGAATCACAATTACATCAAAAAAATTCTTAAAAGTCTCTTGTTATAAAAATATATGCTTTTATGATAAAACTGTTTCACATAAAACTTATAGGTTTATGGAAGAACGTGACGTAGCCATCAATTGAGAGAAATGACTTTTAGGATTAGCCAATAGAAGAGTTGGTTGGTCAAATTCAACAACCTAAATTATGGGGAAAAAAGGTTTAATTAAGTAACTGTAATGTCTTTATTATATTATGTTTAAAAAACATAAACTAAAGAGTTAAATTGGAATGAAAATACTATAAAAAGTTAAATTGAAATAAAAATACTAGGTAACATAGTGATCTCCAAGAATTGGTGATTATTATTTAGTAACAGTAAACAAAAAAGAAATTACAAAATTATTGATAATGTAAAGAGAAACACTGAAAGTATTTTTCCTATGACTTTGCATATTCTTGATATGTTTATATTTTGTGAAACCACAAAAGTCTATTTCATATTAAAATTTGAGCATGCTCATTCCAGCATTGTCTGGCTGAGCACAGCAACTGCCATGATAATATTTTTTATCAATTCCATTAATAACTAAATGGGATTCTACATTAGTAAGTAGAAGAGTAATTCATGCTGATTTCAATGAGAAATTATACTATAATGCAACAACGAATAATTGATCATGTTCTACTTGACAAATGACCTTCTGATTCCTTCTTCAGAGCTTACCTTAAAGACTTGGCATTTGTGTTGCTGCTGTACCGAAATCTAATTGGAACTGATATGAACATTTTGCAAGAGTATCAGACAGACCACACAGTAGCGGAATGACAGTAGGACAAATTTTATTTGCCATGTTAAAAAAAAGCAGCTACACCAAGAATTTAAGGCCTGTAAAAAGTTTCAAAATTTCTCTTTCAATCATTATTAACAACGCTGTTATATCTTTGTTGGGTAGAGGTGAGCGAACGTTTTTTCTTATGCGCATGCATATTAATTATGACGGCACAGCTGTCTCTTCTACCAACACATCCGTCATTCGACCTTCGAGCGTATGGAGATGATGATATGATATTTGCTGTGTGATGGTCCGTATGATTTCCTGTGTGATCCTTTTATTCATTATTCATGTAAATAAAGTGTATTGTCCTAAATCGATGGCTTCTTTACTCTAAATATTGGCCTCTGAACAACAAATGGTAGCAGCTCTGTGGTTTTGTCAAGAAGAATTGGATATAAAATACCAAGTCGAAACCGAAACTGTCTTAGTGGAAGCCAAAAATGGAGAAGTGGAACGTTCCCGAATTAACTGGAGAGAACTATTTTATTTGGGCATTGAAAATTAAAGCTGCCTTATCACTGAAAAGACTTGACTCGGTAATTTCAACAGTAAAACCAGAAAATTTAGACGAGAAAGATGAAAGATTGTGGAATGAGAAAAATGCTGACGCCATAGCATATATAAAACTTTCACTATCGGATCAACAGGTGCTGCAGTTCTCTACAGAAGAGAATGCAAAAATTCTTTGGGAAAAAATAAAGTCAACATTTACGGGACAAGCCAAAGATCGAAAAATAGATGCTGGTAATGAGCTTAAAAAATTTAGAAATGAAGTTGCATGAGTCGGCTAATGATTATATCGCAAGAGCGAGAGGAATAGCAACTAAGTGCCAATCGCTAGGCCTAGATGTATCTCCTCGGGAACTGGTGTTTTACACAGTCCGTGGACTTCGTGGAAAATTCTCTCGAATTAGGGAAATTTTAAAAACTTAGCGTGAAAAAACAATTGATGAAGTACTCGAAATACTCCGTGAGGAAGAGTCCGTTCACACGACCTGATGGAAACAATGCAGAGGCGTTCATATCAAGAAGGAATAAAAACTATAAGCCAAGAATTTGTTACATTTGCTGACGGCCTGGTCACATCGCGAAGGACTGCTATTACAGAAACAAGAATCCAAAAAGTGAGTTATCCAAAGGTAACAAGGAAAGAAAGAAGTCACAATCTACAAGTGCGAACGTTTCATCTCGTTCTGATGAAAGAAAAAATGATTTTGCTTTCCAACTTACACGTGGAAAAAATGATGAATATGATAAAATTTGGTTGCTGGATAGTGGTGCAACTGGACACATTGCAAAAGACTTCTTTTGGTTTCAGAATATTACACCAGAGGTGAGGGAAATTTACCAGGCAGGTAAACATTCAAAAATATTTTCAGAAGGTAATGGTACTGTTAAAGCAAAAACTATAAATACAAAGAATTCTAGTTTTATTAATTTAACTATTAGTAATGTTAGTTATATTCTTGATTTAAGAAATAACTTATTGTCACTCACTGCCTTAATGGATAAAGGATGTAAATTTGAATCAAGGAATAATTCTGTATTAGTTTTTAGTAGGTGTAATGAATTACTTTTTAAAGCATTTAAGAATAACGGTAGGCTTGAAGTTAATTTAGAACCATACTATAATTCTGAATGTTGCATTGCTAATGATTGTACTGGTTATAATTATGAACTTTGGCATAGTAGATTGTGCCATTTAAATCCAAAATTTATGCTTAAAATGGAAGAATACATTGATATTAATGATGTAAGTGATTTTAAGTGTGAAACTTGTGACATAAGTAAAATAACTAGAAAAAGTCATCCAAATATTGACATTAATCAGAGTTCAGAAATTTTAGAATTAATTTATTCGGATCTATGTAGCCCTGTTCAAACTGAATCAATTGGTGGGTCTAAATATTTTATGATCTTTGTGGATGATTTTTCTGGAATGTATTTTACTTATTTTCTTAAAAGTAAAAGTGAAGTATTTGACGCATTTTGTAAATTTAAAGCTAAGTATGAAAATTTAACTGGTAAAAGAATTAAACGTTTGAGAACAGACAATGGTTTAGAATTTTTAAACCAACAATTAGATAATTATCTTGCTTAATTAATGTATTTTTCATGAAAAAACAATTCCATATAACAGTGAGAAGTAATGGGAAAGCTGAACGGGGCAAACAGAGTTCTTTTGGAAAGAGCTATGGACATTAATTACTACATGAGAGTGAGCTTCCGGTAAAATTCTGGGCAGAAGCAAATTAATTTTAGTACTCAAGTATCAAATTTAACACCCCGGAAAGGAAAAGAAAAAATTCCTTTAGAAATTTGGACTGGTAAAAAACCCAAATTAAACTATCTAAAAAGTTTGGATGTGTGGCATACTTTCACATTCCGAAAGTAATGCGAAACAAATTTGACATACCAGGGAAAAAGAGGGATAATGTTAGGATATGCTAGAGAAAAGAAAAGGATATCGTATTTATGTTATAGCAAGTTATAAAATAATTGAAGAACGATCAGTTAAATTTAACGAATCTTTAAAAGGTAGTAATTATATGGGGGAAAATAAATCCTTAGAAACTTGGGATATTGAAGAATTAAAAGGAAGGGGAAATGACGCAGATAAAAAACCACACCTCGAATTGGTTGTTACGGAAAATACTTAAGCAAGCGAATATGATGACTCATCGAATTTCGAAAACGCCGATTTATAATGATACCAAAATCATTTTTATATTGTGTTTGTATGTTGATGATTTAGCTGTATTCTGTAATAATAAAGAAATGCTTGAAAATATTGTTTCTAAAATTAAAAATGTATTTGGGTTACATGAAAATACTAATTCAAAATTTTTGGGAATGCAAATAGAAAAACTTGAAAATGGTATATGTTTGTCTCAAACAGAATATATTGAATCTTTATTGACTAAACACAATCTGGAAAATTGTAAAGCAGTAGAAACGCCAATCCTTAAAGGGGCAGATAAAGGTTTTTCATGTACAAATGAAAAAAATTGATGCAATTTTGTATCAGGAATTAATTGGGGAACTTTTATATTTAGCAAATAGAACGCGTCCTGATATATCATTTGTAACAACTTATTTGTCACAATTTAATCATGTACCAGAAAAAAGGCATTATCTTTTGGCTAAAAGGGTATTAAGGTATTTGAAAGGTACACAAAATAAAAAACTTTTTTATAGCAATGATTTCGGAGTTTTAAATGCATATGCTAATGCTAGCTGGGGAAATGCAGAAAATGGTAAGTTATTTTCTGGTGGTACTATTTTATTAGGTGATTCATTGATTTCTTGGAAATGTCGTAAGCAGAGAAGTGTTAGTCTGTCTACTTGTGAAGTAGAATTATTTTCTATTTCTGAAATTTGTAAGCATATTATTTGGACTGTAAATTTATTATCAGAATTAAAATGTAAACAATTTTTTAACGGTGCAGTGGTCTTGAATACAGACAGTCAAGCTGCCATCCAGTGGATGAACTGTGCCAGATCTTCTACGAAATCCAGACACATGAACTTGCGTTTCCATTTTATGAAGGACTTAACAAAGGACAATGTCATTAAGTTGGAATATTCACAAACTGATAATATGATTGCAGATTTTCTTACTAAGAGTATCAGTGAAGAAAAATTAATGTATACATTGAAAATAATTTCCTTAATCTCTTAATGTAATGTGTTATATATATTGTTTGTATTTATTTTTGTATTGAAAAAATGTTGCTCGCAGGAGGGGTGTGTTGGGTAGAGGCGAGCGAACATTTTTTCTTATGCGCATGCGTATTAATTATGATGGCACAGCTGTCTCTTCTACCGACACATCCGTCATTCGAGCTTCGAGCGTATGGAGATGATGATATGATATTTGCTGTGTGACGGTCAGTATGATTTTCTGTGTGATCCTTTTATTCATTATTCATGTAAATAAAGTGTATTGTCCTAACTCGATGGCTTCTTTACTCTAAATATTGGCCTCTGAACAACAATCTTCTTACTTAAGATGCAGTGATACACTAAAATTCCACTTCATCCTTTACATAAGAAATAAATAGCTCCCTTTATTTTATGCTTTTACTGTATAAGTTGATCAAGAGCAATTCAGCAAACCGTAATTTAGCACTACCTTCCATGAAAATACGTCACATTTTCTAAATTTTTGAGTGGGCTTGAGCTATTCATTGAACAGCTCAACCATTGTTCCATAGCTGTTTCGGAGTATGCCAAATTCTTTTCATATCTTCTTGAAGTGGATTCTAGGTTAACAGTAATCTGTAATAATTGTGAATAAGTGCCATGACTACAGATATGAAGCTTAATTCACACATACACAATAATAATAATAATAATAAAATTCAGATGAGCAATTGATGTTCCTGTCTTTACAGGTCAGTGTACTGATTCTCGGCAGGCAAAAGAACAACTCGATTTGTATCTTGCTGAGTACATGTGGAGACGGAAATAGAAAAAATCCGACATGTGCAAGTTAATGGATATATTTCTCAGTAAGATGTCAGCAATATATCTGCAAAAGGTTAAGTTTTATTTATTACTATTGACTTCACTTTTCCCACTAATAAATATTTCTCTGCAAATAGCACAGCTATTTTAAAGAATTGTCTCTAGAGTATTTTCAGATAGCAAGTAAAGCACTTCTGCTTGCTGAGAGAGCATTTTATATAATACATATATTTAGCTTTAGTCATAGCTTCAATAAATACGAAAAGAGCTTTTTCTGATGTAAAGCAAAATACTATATCATGTCCAAAACAGATATGAACTTTTAAAAGAACTGACAGTGTCATATCTGTAGAAAGCTTGTAAGAGTTACATAGCATAGACTCCTTTACATTTATCTAAGATAGAACAATTTTTCACTTTTTGCTGCTGCTGCTGATTTTTTTAAAGTGCATATGAAAACCATAAAATTAGTTCCAGATATTTCCCTTATCATCTAGTATGTAGATAACAATGTTGAAAACCATTCATTTTTAAAATTTCATTCATATTTATCATATGCATATATATATATGCTTAGCTGCAAGTAAACTCTTCACTTTGCATACGGGCAATAATGAGATTCCTAACTTAAGATAACAGAATTACTTACAACCTTTACATTACCCCCTTTTTAAAATTTCATTTGATTTTTTTTTCTCTTTTATTAACCAACATGTACTGATTTATAGGATACATTTAACCCTTTGAAAGGTACCAATATATAATATAACCAGTGAATAACCGGTTGTTTGTCAGTTTTTTAACCTAAAAAAAAATGCTATTTTCTCTACACCAAAAGCTATAATCGTAAGTTTCTACTGTTTCCTTTCGATTCTAAATGGCAGCACTACCCTATGAACGCTAAATATTTTGTAGTTATGAAATTAATATACCTTGTTCCAAGGTATCATCTTTGATGAATTCTATTAGAGGGAAAGAAAAAATTCAAAATCTGTAAATATATGACATACATATACTGAACCTTTTATATTTACTGCATTTCAATCAAAACTGATAATTAAAAGAAGATTATGTACACGTTTTTAATACCGGTATGCATCCCTACTGAGGGTACCTTGCCAATAGATAGCAGCACTAGGCTTCTCCTTCTCTACTCTGTGAGATGACAGCATTTCTTTACATTATAATAGTTTATGATGTAATAATTTGTTTATGATTAAGTGTTTAGGATTCAGTATTATGTTCATGAAGGGATGGGGAGTTTACTGACCCTGCACTAGGACTGAATACAAGTATATTTGTTTATTTGTATTTTTTTTTTTACTCCACTCGAGTTTCATTCGTCTCTATTTAGCTAAAATTTTAACTTCAGCACTTCACCCTTTCCCAAGAAAAGACTCATCAATTTCAAAATTGCTGTCAGGGGTCAAAATTTTACACAATTGTAGGGCTTAAATGTGGCATGTTATCCCCCAAAAGACACACATTGCTTCGTGTTTTCCAAAATCCTAGAATCCAACGAAAATGAAAGGAGCTGATTGACAACTGATTTGTTATTGAGGAGTCCTGCCTTCTTTCCTTTGTGTGGTGTGATAAGGTCACACAAAGAGAAAGCTTCTTTAAAAATACAGGAAATGGAAGTGTACTTAAGTCCATCTCTTATTGCAATCACAAAAACTGCTGATTTGAAAGCATGCTTTTATTCTTATCGTCTATGTTAATTTCTCTCTGTGTGTGTGTGTGGGGGGGGCGATTCTTGGTATCATAGCATGAACCATGTTTTTTTTATTTATTATCTAAAGCATAAAATATGATTTCAAAAATGCAACATACTTTCTCATCTGAGTCACAGTGTTTCATTTTTCAATTTTTTTATTTTTTGGCTGTTATATCTCCTTGAAATATTATACTAGTTCAGTTACAGCATGATACGATTTACGTATGCAGTGTCATATTTGCTAATTTTTTTTATAAAATAATAATATTGAATTTAAATCAAGTTCAAAATCTTTTTACCCATATTTTACATAAGTATGTTCAGCTGGGTTACATTATCAAAGTGCATAAAAACATAAATCTTATTTTTAAAATTTTAAATTTCTACCAAAATTAAAAAAGTTTTTGTCTTTAGAATTACATAACTATATTCAAGCACCCATCTCTACAGATCACATCAAAAGTACACAAAATTAATTAAAAAAAACAAAAATTAACAATTGGCAGCTACCTGGAAAAAATTGTCTTAGAGGGGCTTTCAAAATTTAGGATTTCGCTCTAGATTTTTTTTAAGTCTCAATTTTGAGTCCTTAGGGTCCATAAGTTATAGTTCCTGCAAAATTTTACCATAATTTAAATTATTTTTTATATACTGCCCCTCAAACGGTTAAGACACAGTGAATTAGTTTAATTGTTGGGCTAGGTGTACTTTAACATAAACTCAGAAATACAGCAAAATCAATTTTCTGCATCCTGTACCCAGAGATTGTGTGTGTGTGGGAGGGGGGGGGAAAGAGTGGAAAAACAATTAATTTATACTAAGCATGATCTAAAATATATAACTGGTAGGTTTAATCTAGCAGCTATCCCTGTAGATAGAAATACACAAGGGGCTTTTAGATAAAATAATTTCAAATAACAACATTCTGAAAATTTCATAATTCTTTGCAATCCATTTAAGGGTATTAAATAATTTAATTATTATAAAAAATTTTAAAAAGCACTAAAAATCAATAAGCATTTAATTTTGGCAAATGCTACTATGCCTCTCTCCATGAATGACATTGGTATTCTTTAAATTCTTGGGCAGAAGATAGCATTTGCCCAATCAGTAAGATGCTGATTTATAGATTAAAAAGATCACTTTTGATCTTTATTTGCAGTAGAGTAACAACCATTTAATTGATTCTGTTAGACATCAGGCAACCCCGTCCTCCGTTACCAACCAACCATTTAATTGGCAAATAGTGAAAACATGTTGATTTTCAGCAGCCACGCCAAATAAAGGGTTAAAAAGTAATATTTATTCTAACTGGAAAATAAAAACAGTAGCTTATTTATTAAATTATAGCTCCCCCCCAAAAAAAAACTAGGTTCTAAATACAATCATGAAGGTGGCTGTCATTTGGATACACACATTCTACAAACTGACCTTTCATGTTTTGTAATATATTAATATAACACAGCTAAACAAATTTCAGCAGACAGTTTTTTTTCCCAAGTTCTTTTCTATTATTTATTTTGTATAAGTACATAACCAATCATTTTACTCTTCAAAGTTTACTTCATTTCCTTTTACTCTTTCAGAAGAAAATAATCACATGCAGTCAGATTATCAATTTTGTGGGTCAAGGACTGAATTGGACTGTGTTTGATGGTGGCAAATTGGTCTCAATTGAAACGGCAACCCTGTGCCGTGGCCAACTTCACTCCATTAGCTAGTACAGTTACGCAAGCAACCAATAAACTATCAGCGACAAACAGACACTTAAGCCGCATATAATAAAGATATTTATTTATTTCATTTTATTTGTTTTTTCAACGTTGCTGGTTTTTGCCAGTTGCTTATTTCCAAATTCTATTATATATAGATGTTAAATTTATTTATTAAATGTTAAATGCACATGCTCTTGTATTTTTAATTTTTCCAGCTTAGCTTTCTCATAATATTCGTCACGTGCTGCACTGCACGAGGAATAAAACAATTTACAGTTACGCAAGCAACCAATAAACTATTGGCAACAAACACTTAAGCCACATATATACATAAGATTCTTATAATTAGACAATTTCAGATGATACAACAGCAGTGAGATGCAGTACACCATTTATATCTCTCTAATTTATAAATAAATATTTTGCTGCTTTCAACAAGCCTGAAAATTTCTGCCAAAACACAATCAATGACACCATAATTCTACGAAAAATATATTGTCTTGAACATATGAATAAACATGTATTGTTATTTTTCCTTTATAACTAAGGGTCATAATAAATCATTTTCCCCGATTCAAAATTCAACATGTACAAATATAAAATGAATAGTTATTTATACTTTATACAAAAAGATTAGAAGAAATGTAATTAGCATTCCTATGATGTAATTAGCATATGCAAAAAATATATGCAACTTACTTTCCCTTCAGACAGCACCATTACTCGATCACAGTTTGCCACAGTTGTGAGTCTATGTGCAATAATTAAAACTGTTGAGTTAGAAAAAACTTCTCGTAAAACTTTTTGGATTATTTTGTCTGTTTCGCTATCAAGAGAAGCAGTAGCTTCATCAAGGAGAACAACCTTCAAAAGAAATTACAAAATAAACCTTTCATCAATAATATATATATACACACATAATCTTAAAGCATCTTAAGCATCTTAAAGTTAAAATTAAATTGGAATCAAAGCAATTTCTCAACAATATTAAAAACTGCAACCGTGGATAAGAGGTTCTGCAAGCATAATACCACAAGAAAACATGACTTTTTTATTCAGAAAAATACGATGACTAATTATAAAAAAGGTTAATAATAATAACAAATAATAATACTTAAATAATTGCATACATACTTAAACATAACAATATTTTAATAATAACGATTTTAATTTATACACCTTTAACATAGAAACAGGTCATAACATGAATTACTGCAATATTCCTCACCCTCTCATTTAAAAATCCAAATGAAAATATTTGTTTTTCCTTTGAAAATCTACAAAATAAAACATTGTTTAATGCTTATGTTGCTGCTAATTTACCTTGCTCTGATGCAGAAGGGCTCTAGCCATGCACAGCAACTGTTTCTCTCCAACAGAAAAATTATTTCCTCCTTCTACAATATATGCTTCCAACCCACCTTCTAATGAAGAAATCTGCAAGATGACAAAAATAAATAAATGAAAAAAAACATAATAATCATCTGAAAATATTTAACTCCACTCTTAATATCTTGAAACAAATTTATTACTTTCAAGCTGAATTAAATATTTTGTAAAATGGTCTCCATTTTTTAAACTGTAGGAACAAAATCACCAGGTTAAAACGCAGTCAAAAGATTTAAGTCATTCACTAAGCACTGAGATACTTTTACTTAAAATTTGGCCTTGCTACAACAATAAGACTGCACTTCATGCCCTTAGACCACAGATGCTCAACATGGCATTTTTATTCACACTGCAGACACTGAGATGTTTGTTGGGGGTTAACGGTTTTAGGCGTGGTTACAAAGCATTAAGAAGCAATTAAAAACACACTTGGAAATTTTGGTTACTTAAATATTTTTGAAATGTTTAAAGATCCACTTCATTATATAAATATTGCAGTCCTGCATCTTTACAAAATTATATCACATCATACTGGTCGACCTTTCACACAAGATGGTGCAAATTGTGCATAATTTTATTTTCTTTATTCCAAGATATTAGAAGTTACAAATCATCAGTCTTATACTCTAAAACATAGACCACAAATCCAAACATGCAGTGATATGCAGTATGCCCAAATAGTATGCTCTTTTGATACAAACCACTGCATATGCTATGGTAGGAATAGATGCATTTTTTTAAGTTCATTACTATAAACATTTCAGATGTCTTTAATATATACCATTCTGTTTTAGTATTGCATGACAAATTTTGATACATAATTTGAATCAGTGCAAGTGCAATACACATCTAAAAATTTTAATGTCTTTACAATCACTGCCCCCAGATTACATTTAAGAGATATATAACACATCCTTGTTGCAAAGGTAGAAGGACACTGAAAATCTCCAAAAGTATGCTGAGCAAATTAAAAACTGAAAAGAAGCAGAGAGTTAAAAAAATATTGGGAAATTAGGTCCTAGGCTTTCATACCTGCTAATTTATTGACAATAAAAATCCGAAGACTTCTGAAAAACATTTTCAGAAATAAGCGATAAGTGCATTGTGTAGAAAAAAAAAAACTGACACTCGAAGGGAATATTCTGAAGGAATCAGATGGCAGGGATATTTACCATAAAAAATTAAAGTCAAGAAATGAAATTTATTTTAATAAAATAGAAAGAAATTTTAAAACTTTAATTGCATTGTTTAAAGTTTACAACAAAGATAGTCAAAATCCTAAATATGAAAGGTAAACACACTGCAAAGCAAGACAAAAGATAATAATTAATTTTTTTTAACTTTCATATTTTTAAAACAACTCAATTTTAATACATTACTATTATTTTAAAAATGCGAGATAACTTTATTGTAATGTTTATTAATAAGTAAGATTCACAATTTCAAAGCAAAATTGGTTTTAAAATCAACAAAATGTTGAAGTCATCAAACCTAGAAATGTGCAGTAGAAGGATTCATATTCTAAAAAAATCTGATGTGTACACCACATGACTTCCTTTTATTGGAATTTAAATTATACGCATTTTTTCTTGCATTTCATTTTACTTCGTACGTACGAAGTAAAAAGGAAAAAGAAAAATTATTTCAGTATAATAAAGATGAATACAAACAGTAATCCAAATATTTGTCAAGAGTTAAGCACTGAAGTACCAATCATCAAACTGGCTTAATGTATGTACATAAAAAATTAGCAGATACTATTATAAAACTATCCTAATTTTTATAAAATTCTGAAAAAAAAAATCATTAAAGGTGCCAAATATGCACTTTTAACAAAATTTAATGACAGCAAGTATATATGCATTAATATATTTTTTCAGCACTAAAAGAATCATTTTGAAAATGGCACAAAATAAATAAGACGAAGCATTTAATTTAAAATCTCAAAGAATTTATTTATTTTCTCAAAGGAAAATAAATGTAAATAAAAAAAATTATGGAAAAACTATAAAAAATTACAGACATCAAACTATCAAAAATTACAGACAAGTCTCTATTGCAAGCAATGCATCTGTAGCATTCTTGAAGCTGTATTTAACACAGTCTCCATTATAAGCAATGCACCTTGCCATTCCTGAAGCTATATTTGGTGGTCGTGTGTGCTTAATGCATGATATAATTAAAGAAAATAAGAGTAGACAATCTCCTATAACAAAAGAATATATTAAATACTAAATTACAATTTAAATTACATTGCAGAGATCAACACAGAGCTCGGAACACAGTTCATGCTACCTTCGCGTACAGTTGTGTGACGAGAAGTCTGAGTGAGTAAAGATGTCGCTTTGCTGCTCCGATTAAGAACTGGATTTTACACGTGGCGCCATCTCATGAATAGAAGTTGAAGTATCTGTCGGAACGCCACAGTACTCCCCCCCAAGTACCATCGGTACGTTATAAGTACTTTGGGTTAAATTTAACCTTTCTTCCAGATCTGGTAGTTTTAGGTTGCTCTTTAACGGGATGTAAGCTTTCTTCCGGGAGTGATGTTGATGAGGAAGTTGTTGGATCTTGCATTAGAAATGCTGGTTTGAGACGATCGATTCCAATCACTGATTGTTTGCCATTGCAGATGATGGTGAAATGTTTCGGTGTTCGTTTGACAACTTTGAATGGACCATCATATGAAGGTGTTAAAGTTGGCTTAATTGCATCGTTGCGCACGAATACGTGCGAAGATGTCTCAAGCGCAGGATGTACAAAATAGCTTGGCTGGTTATGCGAAGATGCGAGATATTGCTCATGGTCTCACGTAAACGTTGAAGGAATGTTGGAGGGTCGATAACTGGAGTAGATTCTGGGTGAAAGAATTCACCTGGCAGACGGAGGGTTGCACCATATAACATTCAGCTCAGCACAAGTGCTACCAATGTCTTCTTTGAATGCTGTGCGAAGACCAAGCAAGCAAGACTAGGGGTAAGGCTTCTGTCCAGTGTGTGCTACTGTGGCACTTCAGACCTTGTTTGAGAGATCGGTGAAAGCGTTCCACCATCCCATTTCCAGATGGATGGTATGGTGTTGTGCGAATATGGCGAATGCCAAGAAGAGAGGTGAGGGATGCGAACAAGTGACATTGAAATTGTCGGCCTTGGTCAGTAGTGATGGTGGTAGGCATGCCAAATCTTGAAAGCCACTGGGAGATGAATGCTCGAGCTACAGTTTCAGCGGATATATTTCAATAGGAATGGCTTCAGGCCATCTTGTGTACCGATCAATACAAGTGAGGAGGTAAGTGTAACCATTTGAAGGAGGCAATGGGCCAACCAAGTCTAAGTGCACATGATCAAAGCGTCTTGCTGGAAGGTTAAATTGTTGAATGGGGCTGTGAGTGTGACGGGATACTTTACACCGTCGTGACATCTAATACATGAACGAGTCCATTCTGTGATGTCTTGATTCATTGCTGGCCAGACAAATCTGTCTGCGATCAGCTTTTTGGTGGCACGGATTCCAGGATGTGCCAAATTGTGTGCAAGGCATTAAACACTTCACGTCTAAAATTGACAGGAATATAGGGACGTATTCTATTGTTCTCTATGTCACAGTAAATTTTAAGCGTTGGATCAATGTGCAGCGGTTGTAACTGAAGGGAGGTTTGTGGATTTGAGATTAGGTTCTTGAGTTCCTCATCATGCAATTGAGCTTTTGCAATTTCAGAGAAATCTGGGGTAGTGAGGTTGATATTGTTTACCCGAGACAAGGCATCAGCGACACAATTATCAGTACCAGAGACATATCTGATATCTGTACTAAACTGGGCGATGAAATCCAGATGTCGAAGCTGATGAGGAGAACATGAGTCAGAGTTTTTTTTAAAAGCGAAGGTTAATGGTCGATGATCAAGTGAAAATGATGAAGTCGTGTCCTTCCAAGTTGTGCCGGAAGTATTTAACAGCACAGTACACAGCAAGTAGCTCTCTGTCATATGTGCTGTATTTCCTTTCTGCAGTAGTAAGTTTTCTGGAAAAGAATGCCATTGGGGAAAGTCCTTTAGTGGTATGGGCTTGAAGCACTGCTCCTATGGCCGTGTCAGATGCATCTACCATTATAGAGAGCTGATCACTAGGTGAGTGATAAGAAAGTGTGGCTGCATTTGCCAGATCGTGTTTGCATTGCACGAATGCTGCAGATGCAGATTCAGTCCAAGGGACAGCTCGTTGATCGTTTTTTTTTTTTTTTTGCTATTCTTCAGAAACTCATGTAGGCAGGCTTGTGTTTTTGCGGCATTTGGCAGAAAGCGTCGGTAGAAATTTAACATTGCTAGAAAACGCTTCAGTTCAGAGATGGTTTTGGGCTGAGGTAGGTCGTTAATTGCTTTGACTCTTTCCGGTAAAGGTTTGACTCCATTCTGGGTGATAAGACATCCAAGAAAGGAAACTGAGGGTTGACCAAGTACACATTTGGATGGATTTAGTTTTAATCCATGATCTTTAAGGCGAGTGAAAATCTGACGCAGATGTTGAAAATGTTCTTCCGCATCTGTAGATGCAACCAGGATATCATCAAAATATGGGATGCAGAAATCGAGGACCAGACAGTACTTGGTGTATGAAACGCTGAAATGTTTGGCCAGCATTGCGAAGGCCAAATGGCATATATAAGTACTCAAAGAGACCAAATGGTGTAGTCACTGCGGTCTTGGGCACATCTTCAGCATGCACTGGGATCTGATGATATGCTCTGGCAAGATCGAGGGTAGAAAATATGTTTTGTTTGTTCCATGAAAAAGATGGGTACAGTCTTGGATATGTGGGACTGGATATCTGTCAGGGACTGTGACGGCATTAAGTCGACGATAATCTCCACAAGGCCGCCAGTCACCATTAGACTTTTTAACCATGTGAAGTGGACTGGCCCATGGACTTTTAGATGGGCGAATGGTTCCCTGTGCTAGCATGAATTCAAATTCTTTGCGAGCAGCTTTTAGCATCTCTGGAGAGAAAGACGACGAGGCTTGGAAAATACAGGTGGGCCATGTGTTTCAATGT